ATGATCATAACACATGGCACATTAAATCCACAGAATTAATTGGACTTCTATTTGAAACACAGATTATAAACAGAATTGATGAGTAGCAAGAAAGCCACAGCACAGATAGCGAAGAGGTGCTCTCTATCACTGTCAAAAGATGCAGCAGACTGCTAAGTAACAGCCATGCACCACATTGCATCATTCACAATCAGTCGGGGTTGGGTGAACATGCACCACACCAGGGGGAGCTCTGTATCTTCATCTCTCCTTAAGATGTTGTGGTCTGCATGCATCTGACCAGCCTCTCCTCCTCTTTCTCCTCTTTGGTATCACATGCACTCCTAAAATGCTAGGAGACAGCAGTCTCTGTGGCTGTACACAGTGGGACAGGAGAAGGCTCCAGGCTCCCTCCTTACACCATGCAATTGCCAGAGGCAAATTTTTCCCTGTATTAATAGATTAGACTCATGATAAAATTCTATTTAGGAAGGGAATTTCCACAACTGAGAATTTCTTTGATAAATTCCAGTCACATCTCTTACCACCCCAACCTCTTCCACTATTTCAGAGGGAAATCCTTTAAGATCGCCTGCTAATGAGAGAGAAATATTTCCTAGTCATTCGAATTTGACATCTAGGAAAGCAAATAGACGGCATTCATGCATATTATTGGCTGAAATTAAGACATTCCCAACCTACCAGTCCTAATTCATGCTCATGTCACTACAATGTGGCTTTTGTTCAAACATCTTCTTTATCTGTTTAGCAATAAATCTTGAAATGTTCTTCCTTAAAAGTCATTATAAATTATCCTAAATGGGAACAGCTCCCTTTTAATGAAACTTTTTTCTAAGCAATACATTCATTAGACTTTATCTGCTTAGTGCATATATGCCACTAAAAGTGCTTGAAAGTTAATTATGCAGAAGATTATCAGGATAGTAATGATTATCATTATGGAGTGGATAAATAGGTCTCAAATTTCATCTTTTGAAAAGCTGGCATACTAATAGGATCGAATCCTACTCACAAAATACTTCAGTTGAAATCAAATGGCCAAATTCACAGATAGCATAAACAGCAAAATGATTGGGTCAAATTCTGCTCTCACTTGCACTCAGGTAAATCTGAGGTAACTTCACTGACATCAAGTGAGTTACTCTGGATTTACATCAGATCTTGAAAAATCTAATTGCCCATGTAACCCACTCGTGCGTGTGTGTTGCGTGTTACAGGTGCCTCTGTGCCCAATCTGCAAAGGATATGAGACTTCTACAGTCCTATCTAGAGAGCCTTAGCTTGTGAGTCAAGCTGTAGAGACTTGTATTTTTAGCTCTGGAGCTCCCCAGCTCAGTTTCTGGTGTGCTGGCCAAGATGGTGCTGTCACATCAGTTCATATGGGAACTTTTCCCTGAAAAAATGGGGTGGTGGGGGTGGGGGGAAAAGGGGAGGCCTAAGACATCAGTGTCTGAAGACTGAAAGTTTTCCTTAGTTCCTGATCTTAGCTTTCTGGAGCAAGAACCATATCGTTGTATGTGTTTCTACAGCACCCAGCAAAATGGAGCCCAAGTACTGATTGTGAGCTCTGGTTGCTACTGCAATATAAATATTTTTTAAAATAATAATACAAAATCAATTTTTTAAAAATTCCAGTCTTATGGTTGGTAAGATAAATTTCCCACTATGAACTGAACATGAACCAGTAAAGTGTTGTCTTCCTGAAGCAGCAGACAGACTGCTCCAGTGACTCAGATGCTGAGCATACTGTCGATGTGGTACAAACCAGGTGGAGCAAACTGTGCCTGGGAGACCCTCCCCTACCCCCCACACACATATTCTGGGGGCACTAGGATCCACACGCTGCCTTCCCTTCCCTCCTCTCCTCTCCAACATGTGGTGTTAGGAGAAAGCCACAATGAGGAGCCAGACAGAGATTCCAGCCGGTAGGGGCAGGAGCAGCCAAAGCAGGAACCTTTGTCCTTGGGAGAATGTTCTAGCATTTTGACTGAACTTTCGCTGCCCTATGCTGATTGGAAGTTTGCTTCAACCCTTGCCCCTACCTCACAATCTCTTCACCTCACTGTCACTCCACAGCTGCCCCTCTTACCCTCTTCTCCCCTGCCCTGCTATCTTCTCCCCGCCACCCTTCCCGTCAATGTCTGCAATCCCTTCCCTTTTCTTTCCTGCGATCCCTTCCCTCTTACCCCTCCTACATATACCCACCTAAAGAGGAAAAAAAGTTTTAAAAAATACATGGAATAACATGCTGGTTGCTGCCATCACATTGTCACTCTGCTTGCTTATTAGACACCGTCCCCTACCCTGGATCTATCTTGTCTATTTAGATGCTAAGCGCTTTGGAGCAGGGACCATTGGCTATGCTATGTTTGTACAGTGTCTAGCACAATGGGGTCCTGGTCCATCACAGGTGCTCCTAGGCTGTACGATAATATAAAGAATAAATAATAATAATTCCTTCCCCCTACTACAATTTTGACATAATTCTGGCTTTTACAGTAAACATTCTTGAGCCTTCCCAGAAGTCTTCCAGCAAAACCAAAGAAGATTGGACTTGACATTTTTGATATTTCTAACTTTAAAAAATACCATCCTTTATCATGAAGAGGAAAAATAAGCACAAGTCCAAGAAAACATTTTCAATATATATTTCAAGTGAAATCCTGACCCAATTGAAGTCAATGGGAGTTTTACCATTGATTTCACTGGGGCCAGGATTTCTCTCTTTCCATTCATCTTCAATTCTAATGGTGTTCCCCCTGCCCCCTTCACCAGGAACAGGGTTCTACCTTTTGTTCCTTCTACTTGTACAACATAGAGTAGCTATACATAAAAATCCTCTCCAAACTAGGTCATATTTTCAAAATTAAATTAATAATTTTCTATAGTCTTTTCAGATACTGACCAATCAGGATCTAAATTTACTGATGCCTCTTAATCATTAGAACTGTAATATAGGCCAGACTTGATATATATCATCATTAGGTACAGCCTCAGCTTACTGAAACTATTGGTTCTACCAAGTGTAGGTTGAAACAGTTTATCACCCAAAATCAGAGCTTCCTTAATTCAGAAGGTTAAGTGAGTTTAAGGTCCTAAGAATTTCTATGATTGCATAAATGGGATAAGAGATCTGGATCATTCAAATGGGGTGTAAATTGACCAATATAACTTAGTCAAAATGATTTGATCTTTCTCAGAAATGAAACTTCCAGGAAAATGTTTAGAGAAGATAGCAATTACCCTATTCCTTTATATATCCTTTATATATCTTCCTACTGTATTTTCCACTACATGCATCCGATGAAGTAGGCTATAGCCCACGAAAGCTTATGCTCAAATAAATGTGTTAGTCTCTAAGGTGCCACAAGTACTCCTATTCCTTTTATGATTCTGACTGTTAATTTATGATGCATCCCGAGGCAATGATGGGTGCCCTTTTTAAAAAAAAATCAAAAGATAAACCTTAATGAAAGTTTTTGTTTTTTTTCAATCATCACAACAGTAAATATTAAAGATGCATCAAAAGCAGAATCAGCTTTTAGCAGAAGCCATGAAGGTCCTCAATAGGGTGGAGTTCAACACTCCAGTATCTGTGCAGCATTTTTGGACACGAGATTATACATCAAAGTAGTGACAGTGAGTCACCACAAATTACTTTGGAAGAACTACACCCAGTGATTTCAGAACATAAAACTAACTGAGGCAATGGCCTAGAGAATAAATTGCAAACTAGAATTGCCAGGGAACAGAGTTTGCTACATGACTTTTCTCAGAAATAAAGCCACTTTCCTTTTCTTACAGCCCTACTCCATCACTCATTCAACAGATTCAAAAGCACATGGCTAAAGTAATCCTAAATTTCATGGTGAAGCAGTTAGACTTTGCTTCCAGCCGTAATAAAGCTGTGTCCACACAAATCCAATCTTCTCTTTTTTAAACAGACTAGCGCTCAGACTATACCAGGGTCTCCTTTGGGTAAAGTAGAACTTAATTCAACCAGTTGAAGGTTTGAAAACTAAGAGGTCTTTTTTAAGAGGTTTAAAAAATTATAATGAATCAACACTATCAAGTTCTACCAGCCAATCAATTAGATTGTGTGTTGGAATGTAGAAAAATTGTTTCTACTAGTGAGGTTTCAAGGATTCTGACTCATACAGATCAAACACTTTGCATAAGATGGATTTATTATGGTTCAAACTGCAGTATTAAAGCAACCCAGGGCACAACTGACAAACTCTCTTTTCTTTGACATATCTAGGCATTTTAAAGGCACACAGTTGTTGAGATCAGAGAATCAATATACTCTCAGGCTAGAACTCTAAGCCTATATTCTCCTCAAGTGCTAGCTGCTACTTTGCACTGTATCACCTGGCAGTTTTTGTTGCTTACCTTGAAAGTTTGTTTTTAAAACAGAATTTTGTTACTAATGTTTGCAAGCTCTAGTCATGTGCCAAGTGAGCAGGGCTGGACAGGAACCCACACATCTTATAACTCTGCACTGTTAGCACTCTCTTCCCAAACACACCTTTTTGCTGGGATTTCCCACACCACAAAAGAAGAGATTTAAAGCCCATCAGTGACAAAGACAAGAGCACACTCACTATAAACTACATATCATCCTTTCTTTAAACCAAAATTACTAGTGTCATGATCTTCTGCCCAGTCATCAAACTCTCTCACTCACACACACACACACACACACACACGGCTCTGCAGAACCCACAGCCAGTTCTGTTGTAACATCCAAGGATTATATAGTCAAGCAATTTTCTAAATGTATCTTTACATAAAATCAGACAGGATGATTCAGGAACTCATTTCCCAAAATGCAACACTTCAAGAGCACACGATCACACATACTCATTTCTTTGCACATAAATACCATGGAAAAGGATTAATCTGTAACTCAGGAAGAAAATTGCCATGAGGTATAAACAGCAGCTGTTTTACAAATGCATACAGTATCGTACCTTTTTCATTCACAGTTTCTTCTTTTATTTTCCTCACTGCTTCTTGGCCTTCACGTTCATCGTTTCCAGCTGTCATCATCAAGAAAATGCAGAATTAATAATGCAATCATCTTAAAGACTGTTGAGTACCCAGTCATCCCACAAGTATAGGTTAACCACAATGTAAAATGCCACAATCAGAAAGCAAACAACAAGCTTGAAGTGAAAGAGAATTATTTATTGCAATCACACTAACAGAGGTTTCAAAAAGCACCATACAAACACATTGCTATTCACACATGACTGGACTGTTTTGTCTCTTCTAGTTATTGCATGAAGGCTGGACAGCCACATGCTTGAGCAGCTGCAGCTAAAACCAAATCTGGTGATTCAAGTGAAGCACATTTCAGAAACAGAGTCTGAAACAATCATAAAGCAATAAGCTTGGACTGCATAGCATTTCTTTTTCCAAAATGAAAAAGAACTGATGGGATTTCATTGAGTATTTTGGTGGATACTCACTAAAATGTCCAGTCCATCTGACTCAGTGCATAGGCACAGTTCTTACTAGCATTAATAGAAAATAAGTGTAGACATCAAAGATAGAGAAGAGACTCTGCCCTCATGTCATTGAACTACAGTAGACAATCTAGTTAACAATTGGATAGTATTCATTGTTTGGCAGTTGCTTTGTAACAATGCTGGCTTTGGAACAACAACAGAAAATACTGTGCTTGGTAACAGTTTTAATTTTGAAAGCCGAATTTACCATTCTGTCTATCCATCAACAGATACAGAGATTTTCTATAGCACCCTTCATCACAGCATCTGAGTCCTTCCTAGGTAAATTAGATGCACATAGTAAACCCCCTAATGAACGATAAAAAGTATTCTGCCGCCTCTAGTTATAGAAAGACAGCCTGGGTTTTTATAAGCCTGGGTGATAAGGAAGGCTTTATTTTTCTTCCCCCTTTTTTGATTTGTTATTGTTTATTAGGTTATTTATGTATTTATTTTGCTTATTTGTCTTCCATGCATTTGTTCCTTTCTCTTTCTGGTTATGAAGGGAGAGATCTTTCACACAGGAGTTTGTTGTGGCATGCCGAACAGTTCAATCAGACTCTGGATTAGTCTGATTTCATCTGGGAACTCCCTGTACGCCCTTGAGAGAGAACATTTTATCTCTGGGACCTCATTACACTTCATTCTGGATTGTATAAACGGCATTGTCCAAGAGTGATTGGAGGGATCAGACCAGCACAGGGGTGAAGTCACCCAGGCCACTGAGGGGGTAGGCTAATGCATTCTGCAGAAGCTGGAGCCTCTGTGTTGCTTCCGCATTTAGCCCCAGGTACAGGGAGTTACAATATTCTGTCTGGAGGTGACAAATGGATGGGTTCATGAAATGGAAGGACTCACTATTTATATGAAAGCAGTTGAAACAGGCAATTTTGCCATTTAAAACGGTTAATGGGAAGACATGTATGTACAGAGTAGATCAGCTTTTCAATTCCTTTTTGACCTCCTCATACTAACCATTTGGAAACAAAGCAAAGAAACACTCATTTGTAGTATTTGTTTTTCTGCAAAATCCATCTGGGGTTTTATGACACACAAACATTCAGCTTGATCCTAATTTCTGGAAATAGATGCAGTGTCAAAGAACAAAGCCTACAGTGAAACTGCCATGTCTGTGGAACTCTGCACAAAGCCGCTATGGGCAAGGAATCAACTTTCCTCACTCTTTCAGCTTAAGTGATTTCCTACAGTGGGGTTTCAAAAATCAATGTGTCACAGTGCTAGATACAGTTATGTTAAAAACTGACTTCTGTGGCAAGCCCTGTGAGGGTCCCATCTGATCCTCCTTTCATTCAGCATTTATCACCCAGTGAACATGCATATTAAAACCTCCCCAGTGACTTGATTTAACTCTCAGTATGTTCATTTATTTTTCAAAGAACTTGCGTTGCACAACAAATTGTAATTCACATTATTTTCACTGTTATATTAATGGTTCCTCATTAAAGCTCAGGACCCTCCAAACGAGCTCAGTTTATCTTATTTGCATATTTTAATTCAAGACCATTGGGACAAAAGAATCATTTTACTAAATAGCTGCTTCAAAACTGTTTCCATATTAGCGTAAGAGGGAGTTTGAAAACATGAGTCTAGGAGCTAGGAGCATCATAAAATTAAAAATTGCCTTGACCAGAGCTGTTTGTGTGCTGGAGGCTTTTGAAATGAATTTTGCAAAGCAAATGCTTTAGGGGTGAATAAAGACACTGGATAAGTGACAAAATCCTTATGAAATGTTCCAAGTAATGTATCAGAAAAAGATACAATAATATTTTAAGAGTAATCTACACCTCTGATTTTATTTAAAGAGATGAGTGATTCCTCACTTATTAGGGGCAAAGCAATAGAGCATTTATAGTCAAAGTTGATAAACACATTCCATTTTAATCTCTTGTTTCAGTTGCTTTTACTGTGACAAACTAACCATTTGCTCTGAAATTTTCCATGCTTGATCTCTGCCTTAGGATCATCAAATGATCCATCCCCTGTCGCCCATTCCCAGCTTCTGGCAAACAGAGGCTAGGGTCACCATCCCTGCCCATCCTGGCTAATAGCCAGTGATACTCCTTCATTGTCACCAAACAACTACAAAGGGTTAAAGACAGTAAGCAGCAGCTCCACTGAAATACTGTTTGGAAGATCCATTGGGGTGGGAACCAGACAATGAATTCTTGTCTCACTTTTTCCATGGACTAGTTTCAATATTCTGCTCACTTATAACCCTTATTATAGAGGCAGGCCTCATACTTCTACCTTAACACACAAGTAGATAAAATGCTCCCTTATTTAAAAAATGTTAACTAGATTTTGAAAGGTTTCACATGATCACTTTGAGCAGAACTGGGAGTAGACTTCATGTGTACCTGAATCTCATCTACTTAAACATGCTGCCTCCTAGAATGAACATGCCAAATGTATGTGCTTGGCTATTGTGTTTGCAAAACAGATCTACTCCTGCATGCTCACCTTTAGAAAGCTCGTTAAAATCCACAATTGAATGAGTCCTATATGTAAATGCAAAGCGTCATCATCAAATAATTAGTAGCTAAGAGTCCTAACTTTCAGTCTCCTGCTTTAAACACTGGACCACAGTTCCCATCCAGAGCCAGGAACACATCCCAGTTCCTTGTATTGTACTGCTGTCTAGCAAGTAGTTCTGTAACCCACAAGTAAAGTGAGCAGTGCACACAAAGGAGAACAGCTACTACTGAGCACAAATTTAAAATGTTCTAATGTGGCAGTAAATTCTGATTTTATTTTTAAAAGTCACCAATCAATATTTAAGAATCACACACACAGTCCATCATCTGTTTTATGTAGGACCTAGACAAAAATACAAAATATGTTGCATCCTCTCACTGCAGACTCTTCAAACAGGTTACACTCTCAAAGCTGTGTTGAAGTCACCAGGAATGTTGATACTCAAAGAAAGGAAAGGTCATAACACTCTTAAGCACCATTTGAAATATCCTTATTGAAATGTCCTATAAAATGTAATAATAAGGATGAAAACAAAGAAGTTTTTTAAATTTTCAAAGGGCTCCATAGAAATCAAGATAAGCAACCACAGAATATAATGGAGTATAATATCCTTTCAACAGAATTTTAAAAACACCCTATACAATTTCAGAGAAAACATGTATGTCTGCAACAAAATAGGTTTTAAATGTCTAATTAAAGATTAATCTGCATTAAAATTCAATATGACCGATAATGTCAATGTTTATTATTTTTATTTGTATTATGGTAGCATCTAAATAAGAGAGATATGATCGGGGCCCCATTGCATTAGAATCTGTACAGTCTCCTAGTAAGAGACAGGCCCTATTCTAAAGAGCTTACAATCTAAATAGACATGACAGACAAAGAGTGGGTGGGGATTCGGGGAACCAAAGGCACAGAGAGGCAAGTGAGTTGCCCAAGGTCAGTGACAGAGCCAAAAATTGAGCTGCCACAAGGAGAAGGATAAAATGTCAAAGTGTCTAAGTGCTCTCCAAAAAATAAAGAATGCAAAAGATAAAACTATTAAAAACAAAAGCTAAAAAGGACTTAGCACTGTGCTTTGTGTTAAACAAACAAACAAACAAACAAACCCAAAGCTGATTCAAACAGTCTATAATTTTTCCACGGCAATATCTTGTCAGTCACTCCAAATATTGAGCCTTTGAGGTAGACAACGGAGGTCAATTTAGACCACTCAGCAACAAGGAATTTGCTCGGTAAGTGCCTGATCCTGCTTCCGTTGTTGTCAATGGCAAAATTTTCATGGAACTTCAATGGGAGCAGCATCTGGCCCTAATTCTATACATTCCAGAATGAATCAACATATACTGTATCTGACTGATACTGTAAACGGTTACAGAAGGAAAGAAAAGCAGCAATGTAGCAGACATCATACAGATAGCTGGAGTGAAAAACTGGAGTGAAAAGGCATGTAAAAGATGCTGTTCAAGATTTTGTTTTACTAACCAAGAGACCAATCCAAAGCCCTCTGAAGTCAAGACAAAGCCTCTCACTGATTTCAATGGGATTTGGATCAGGCCTTAAAAGATGATGCCCAACAAAGAAACTGAGGAAGTAAAGTATATTTATTTTGGCAGAGTCAGGTTATTGAAAATCCAAACGGGAGAGAATGTTGTGCGTCACAAACAGGGCTGGCATTCAAATACAGAAAGATGCACAATGCTAAAACAGATGTAGTATTCTGAACTAGAGAGTGAGACTTTTAAGACCTGAGAGAGTATATGGTATGAGGACTAAATTCAGACATGGTATAAACAGTCACAATGTAATGTTTTAACACGTTCGTAAATGACCTCTTCAAACTTTTGTGACCCACAGTAGAATCCCCTTCCTGGATTTTTTTCCCCCATTGACTCAATATAATTGCACTCACTTTCACCACTTCTGAATTTAGCCATGAGAATTTGGGGGTGAGCAGCCTTCACTTGATAAGAACTGCCTACCCTAGATTCAAAAAGCTTGTGAGAGTCTGGCATGTTCATATCCATTGAAAGAACTTTGAGAAAAGTTGCTTAGAAGAAATAACAACTGGCTTGGGAACTTAGACTACTGAGCTACTTAAACACTTTCCCCACTTCTCCTTTCTCTGCTAAATGCATAATATTTAGAGGGAATAAAAAAAATACAGCTGGTCATAGAATAATGTATGCAAAGCTGGTCTGTCTCTTTTCTGACTTATTTCTTCTACTTTGCACCATGTAAATAATGAAATAAATTCAGGTGAGATTGATTTAGCAAAGATACTTTCTGCAATCAAGTCCAAAAAATAAAACTAGTCATGCAAATTTGACTGAATAAATGCATAAAATAAGACATGATTGAAGTGGGATGAAAAATTCTATTTCTCAGTGAAACACTACAGCTAATAATGTATAAAGCAAATAATAAAGCTAGAGTATAAACTTAGTTAAAAATATTCCCCTAGTCTTCATTTACATATATAAACACTGCATGTCAAACCATTTGGTTACATAACCCAATGGGCTTTGGATTAGATTCTGCCACCTTACATTGAGAAGAACCTCACTCTGAAGGCCGTTTCAATGGTTTCAGTGGGACTTACCACAGAGCAACACATTTTATTCAGTTTAATTAAGTGAAACAAAATCTGGTTTTAGTAATTCAACACAGTTGAATGATTTTATGCATTATTGGTACTCCAGATGCATTATCCAGGTATTTCAGAGGGTTCTGAACTAATGTTTTATTTATTATTATTAAAACACATTTATTATGGTAGTGCCTTAGGGCCAAGCAAGAGTGGGACCCCATGGTGCTAGGCACTACACAAATACAGAGTAGTAGATCAGGGGTCGGCAACCTCTGGCATGCGGCTCGTCCGGGTAAGCACCCTGGCGGACCGGGCCAGTTTGTTTACCTGCCGCGTCCGCAGGTTCGGCCAATCGCGGCTCCCACTGGCCGCGGTTCGCCGCTCCAGGCCAATGGGGGCTGCGGGAAGCGGCGCGGGCCAAGGGATGTGCTGGCTGCATGCCAGAGGTTGCCGACCCCTGTAGTAGATTCTCCCGGCCCTGAAGAACTTGCAGTCTAAATAGACAAGACAGACACAGAATGGGGAAAGAGTTAGAACACACAAGCAGAGTGAGCACTGTGATAGCAGTAAACTGCATGTTAGTTCTATTTTGGGGGGGGACAGTGCAAGGCATTCTTAAGAGGGGATCAGCTAAATGGAAATAAAAAGGAAGGGAATTAAGGTGATGGGGACAGGGCAGGGGAAGACAGGACAGGAGGGGCAGATGTGGAGTGAAGTTGAGGTGAAGAGACTGTAAGCAATGGGGAGAGGAAGGGTTGGAACAAACAGTCAATCAGCATAAGGCACAGGAAGTCCAGTCTAAACTGTAGAAAGTTCTCTGAATCTCCAAAGGCTGCTTCTGCTCCTGCCTGCTTGAATCTCTGATGGGGAGGGGTCTGCTCTTGCAGATCACATGGGGAGGAAGAGGAGGCATCATCTGGGTCCTAATGCCCCCAAAGTGGTGGTGTCTCCCCTACACTGTGCTGAGTTCTGGGGGACAGTGGAAGAAAGGGGTGCCTCCAGCTGGGCCCCATTTTACTCCTTCCCCCTCAGTGCAACAATCCCCATTTGGGCTGCTTCTATCTTTGCATCATAATCAGTGGAACTCGAGTCAGAGGACTTATGTTCCCTGGAGGGACTGTTATTGACAGGACATCAGTGGAATATGGGGAGTTAGGCTGGAACTCAGCAACATGGACAGAGCAGTCCCCAAGATTTAATAACGTTTCACTTGTTCAACTTAACCTGCATTCAGCTTCACTCTTTGTGAGGGAAACATGGTAGCACATTCTGAGCTGTGAGTTCTCTGCAGGGCAGCAGCTGGCAGCATGAGCCATGGAATTCAGTCTGAAGTCCCCTCAGAGACTCTGAATTTTTCAGGCTCAAACCTAGCCTAGCAATGGACCCAGTGGAAGGAGGAGTTGGAGCTGTACACAGACCTAGCCATGCAGGAGGACAACAGCAGCAGGAAAAAGGCTGAGAGGGCTGCAGCACTCTGAAGCTCACTACTGCCTCAAGCCCCACAGCAATGCTAGGAGCCCTGGGGACCCATTGCTTCCTAAAGTAGAACGATTCTACAGCATGGCACAGGCTTTTCACTAGAGATGACCCTGAAGGGAAGGGAACAGGCCCCTCTTTTACAGCCTTGTGCACAGTGGCTGCTACATGCAATTTTGGGGACTTGGTAGATTCCCTAATGTAGGACAGGACAGTTTGCAGCACTTGGGATCAGCACCTGAAGGAGCAGCTGCTCCGGGAAGGCAGTCTCACATCAGATAGATACTTAGACATTGGGTGTGCAACAGAAGCCTCAAGAGAAAGGATGGAAGCCCTAGGAGGCACAACACCCCCAGTACTATGTACAGAAAGACAACAGCAAAGAAGAGCAGGTGGCCAGGGTTCCACATCCATAGTGAGATGCATTTACTGTGGGAAACAACATGAGTGGGTGAAGGAGAAGTGCCCAGCCCTAGGATACCAGGACTCTAAGAGCATATCAAGTCCTGACAGGAAAGCAACAAGGGTACAATACCAACCTCCATGCATGCACAATGCTTTGAGGGAAAATATCCTGCACAATTCCAGGATCATGGAACCTCTTGCAGTGTGATTCCCCAGAATTAATTGGACTCGAACACATTCATTATAAAGAGCAGGCACAATCTAATAACGTACAATGAGTGCATAATGCAACCCATAGAAAAATGTGATCCAATAATAACTAACCCAAACAATAGCAGATGGTACCTACAGAAGTTTGTGGTGATGGATGGTAAGCTCCACACACCCTTCTTGGAGAATACATCCATACAAGTCATGGATCTGATCAGGGTACAGACTCAGAATTTTATAGCGGCAGTGCAACAAGACAGTGTAGATCATTTTAAAAGTATAGGAGGGATGTTTTCAAATGCAACAGGTGCCTCAAAGAAAAGTTGTGACTGGAAACAGATCCCAAGTTGGGACCTGTGTGCTTACCATGAAGGAAAATTCCAGTGGCACTAGGGAGTACAAAAGGAGTTTGAAAGTCTGCAGAGCAAGGGTATCATAGTACCATGGTGGTGGCAAAGAAGCCATCAGTCAAATTGTGCATCTGCATAGACCCAGGCATTGGAAAGATGCCACTATCCATGATGATATCTTGTCAGAACTTTCCAAAGCCAGAATCTTGACAGTCTGATATGAGGAATGGGTTTGGTCACAGAAACTGGGACAGAGTTCAGCATGATGACAACACTTGCAACACCATTTGGTTGCTATAGATAGCTGCACATGCCAATATGCATAAGGCCAGCACAAAAGATGGTCCGGAGAAGTCTCACCCAGCATTGTTCCTAGATGGGTAGTGGTGTTAGCTAACACCCTGAACAGCATCAGCGAGTTGGGAGGTGAAGATTAGGACACTGAATCCTTTAACATGCTGTACTGTCT